AAACATATGATGAAGGAAAATGTTAAAAATGCCTTCATCTCTAAATCTGCACTGAACATACATTAATTTCAACATTAACAACTTAAAGGAAAACTAAAGTGCTTTTTTCGGCTGAACTGAGATGAACAATCACAATCAGTGAACGCAAACCTCCTTGTTCAAATTAATCAGAATATCCCACTAATCACATATCCCATTTTATCTTCATTCACATGTATTGTCTCTACTAAACTAAATGCATCTAATGTTGAACACTGCTCTCTTCTGTGCTTCAAGTTTAATTGGTAAAAGATAATCAGCAATGTCATTCAGAAACACAAACAGGCAAAAATAGTGCCACCAGTGTTGGAAAAAGTATCTTATTTTGTACTGTTCCTTTAAGTCCATAAAAATAACTGACCTCTTATGAAATTGAAATAAAATTGTCTGTTAGGCTGAACTGGGTTGAACTTAAAGATGTAAGCATAAAACTTGTAGTTCCTAAGAAAAAAAATTTGCATTACGTTCATGTTAATTTTCATACATTGTCTGATTGAGAACTTCAATGGGAGAAATTGGCTCTGGCCTTTCCAGCTAACACTTATGGGGTCAGTGCAATCCTCAAACTGGAATATAAATGTTCATTGGTCATTCTTGACCTGTATTTACTTTTGATAATGATGAGTGTTGAGAAAGCTGACTCGCAGCGATACGTTGAACCAAACATGCTCAGGTGTGTCTGTATCCAGAAGGTGGCAGGGTCACAACCTCCACACTGCTCTTTTAATGCTTCAAATTCAGTCATTTCATTCTCATTTAGGTCACAAACCAGTCAAGAAAAAGAATTGGCAGAAGGTGGAGGTTAAAGCAGTGGAAAAACACATGAATGCACTTCATTGAATCCTGTGGTGTTCCTGGAAAGGCTGCCTGCGATTTGTGCCTCAAATCTGAGCCGGAATCCCTAAAACGGAGGGACTGGCTGGCTATTATATTTTACATAAAAAAACGTATATCTGCTCTGCAAAGAAAATTTTGAGCTATGCTCCTGAGCTGCAAGTATAAAGTACACCCAAAGTATTAAAGGGTTAGTTCACCCCAAAATGTAAACTCTGTCAGTAATTACTCTCCCTCATGTTCCAACCCCGTAAGACTTTCGTTCATCTTCTGAACACAAATTAAGATATTTTTGATTATATCTGAGAGCTGGATCACTCCTCCATAGGCTTCTTAAGGGATCGAAACTGGCCGGCCCAAAAGTTATGAAAGACATCGTTAAAATAGTCCGAGTGACTACAGTGGCTCAACCTTAAGTTTATCAAGCGACGAGAATACTTTCTGTGCACAAAAAAACAAACAAAAATAACGACTTTATTCAACTATTCATTTCCTTCTATGTGGGCCTCGAGTGAGTTCACGTAGTAACTTTAACCATTTTGTACAGTACATGTTTCTATTCCTTACTAGTGCAAATTTACTTAGTCATTCTTTGTGTGATGTCAGAGTGATGATCCTCTTAAAGTTGAATTATTCATTCGGAGACTTAACTTTACTCCTTTCATAGTGCAATGCAAAAGTGCAATACAGTCTTGTTCCTTGCTTTTTGAAGAAGCCAAACACATGTCTGCATCTGTCATTAAAGGGATAGTTCGCCCAAAATTTTTAATTTAAATTCTGTCATCATTTACTCTCCCACAAGTTGTTTCAAACCCTTATGAATTTCCTTCTTCTACTGAACACAAAGGAAGATATTTTGAAGAATGTTGGTAACCAGACAGTTGATGGACCTCATTGACTTCCATAGTAAGAAAACAAATACTGTGGGGCCCATCAACTGACTAGTTACCAACATTCTTCAAAATAACTTCTTTTGTGGTCAGCAGAAGAAAGAAACTGGTTTGAAACAACTTAATGATGACAGAATTTAATTTTTTTAAGGAAACTATCTCGTTAACAGAAATTAACTTTTGGCATATTTGTTTCACATCAATACTGTCCAGTTTGTCCTGTTGGACATGACACACAGCAACTTGTGGCATTGTTCTGAGTCATGTTTTCAGTGTCCTAAGAGCAATGAAACTTATTTCAGCCTCAGCTGATGAGACTGGGATGACACGGATTTCAACTTGCTCAAACAGACCTCTCAATTCAACATGACCAAGCAATTTTGTGTTTTCATGTTTAATGTGGACATCGATAGTCATAATGATTTTATACTGTACAAACTTTGTATTCTATCCATCTACACTAACCCTATCACAGATAACTTTTCTGCATTTTCAAAAAACGTCACTTGGTATGATTTATAAGCTGTTTAAAAAATAAAATCCCAATCCCCAAAAGGACAAAGATTTCTGAAATTGCCATCTTTGTGGGGACATTTTGTCTTTGTCCCTACAAAAATGGCAATATAGGAAAACCTTGTCCTTGTGGGGATTTTCTTTTTTGGAAAAAGGCTTATAAATCATACTAAGTGAAGTTTTTACTAAGTTTTAGTGCTCTTTGCGCGCACGCCCATACACACACTAATGATTATGTTTGCCACTTATCCCGCGATTGTCATACATGATATTGTAAAAACTGCGCTGTCCCCGAATCATTATTTGACGCGATTTGCCCTGTATTTTTGTGCACAGAACTGTAAATTACTCCCTAGTTTACCGCATCTAGGTTTCCTTTGGGAGAGCTTTGACGCTTCGCACAACCAAATGTAGCTACAGCCTCTCACAAGTTAGAAAGAAAACCCAAAGCCAATCAGTTAGCAGACGAGACCTAAATCTGTTGACTGTTTGTGTTCCAGGATTTGCGCATTTTTCTCAGAACGCTCTTGTAAGAGATTTTAATCTAAATGAGATGTTTCCTGGTTAAATAAAATAAGAAATACATAAAAACCACAAGATCCAACCCTCACTCGACTGTTTTAACATGTGGTGGTTCACAGGTGTCATTCCGACTAGCTTGAAGAAAAGTCGCACGGTGCTAATCCCTAAGACATCTGACCCAGGAGCGGTGATGGAGGTTGGTAGCTGGAGGCCGATCACCATCGGGTCAATGATCTTGAGACTCTTCACTAGGGTGATGAATAAGAGAATGCAAGAAACGTGCCCGATTCACCCTAGACAAAGGGGGTTTCGTCCCAGCCCCGGATGTGCGGAGAACATCGAGGTGCTGCAAGGCCTCATCCGCCACTGCAAAGAAGAGCGGAGCCCACTTGCAGTGGTATTTGTCGACTTTGCACAGGCTTTTGATACCGTCTCCCATGAGCACATCCTGTCAGCTCTTGGGCAGATAAACGTGGATCCTCATATGGTAGATCTAATCCAGCAGATCTACACGAACAGTACGACCTATGTCGAGGTCGGAGGTGGGAACACCCCCGATATTACAGTGAGGGTTGGTGTTAAGCAGGGGGACCCGATGTCACCCTTGCTTCCCTTATCCAAGGTCTTGAACGCTATGGCAAGGGGTACACCGTGGCCGGTCATTCAGTAACGACTCTTGCTTTCGCTGATGACCTGGTGCTGATTGGAGGATCTTGGAGTGATATGGCACATAACTTGCAGCTCTTGGACAAGTTTTGTCAAAACACCTGCCTACGCGTCAATCCGAGGAAGTGTCACAGCTTCCTGGTCAAGCCCTGCAGCGGTGAATTTACGGTCAATGACTGCGCCCCATGGGTTCTGGGGGGCATGGCCCTGCAGCAAACAAGTATAGTTGACACAATAAAATATTTGGGTGTCAAGTTCAACCCCTGGGGAGGGGTTGACAGGCCTGACCTGGAGGTGGTTTTAGACAAGTGGTGCCGGAAGATCGGGAAATCACTACTTAAACCCTTGCAGAGGGCGATCCTCCTAAATCAGTATGCGGTACCACGACTTTTCTACCAGGCTGACCTCTGTGAGGTCAGTGACGGTGTACTCCAAAGCCTAGATGGGACGATCAGGAGGTTTGTGAAGAAATGGCTCCACCTTCCACTATCCACCTGTGATGGGATAATTTACGCAAGGAACCGGGATGGCGGCCTGGGGATCTGCAAGCTTTCTCGACAAATCCCATCGATTCAAGTGAGGAGGCTTTACAGTCTCAAGTTTCTCCTGCGCAGCTCTGGAAAGAGAGTCAGGAGCGAACTCGTAACGCACCGTTAGATCGATGGCCAAGGCTTTGGAATCCCGGATGAGCACCAAGTCAAGTCGTAGCAGTTCCCCCTGGAGGGTTCTGAACTCCCATTCTTGGCGAACCTCCCATCCGTGAACCTCAGCCTCAGCTCTGAGGAGACGGCACAGTTTCGAGTGCCGGGCAATCCTACCCTCCTGCATAGCTGGGCATTGCCCTAAGATGTGCGAACAGGATTCTAACCTAAATGAGCAGCGCCTGCAGGCAGCCCCCGCCTTGCTCCTGCCTCTGTGTAGAAACTCTTGGGTGGGGTATACACATGCCCGAATTTGGAGAGCGGCTATGTATTGTCTCTGAGTAAACCCCACAGGTTTACCAAGCCATGTGTTGCTCGCAGAGGAGCGACACCACCGAGTATCCCCACCCCTTGAGTGGAAGGCCTGCCCATCTAAGGAATTCATCCTTTCTCCAGTCACTCGGGACTGGGCACACCCGGTGGTGGCTTGTCAACGAGTCGGTGGTGTCAACATGACTTGTATAACGTATTCTCTGTATAATATTTAGTATATGTACATTTGTTGTAATACCAGGGGACGATATGTTCCCTCCAGAAGAGTCTGGTTCCTCACTGGTGTGTTTTAAGGCTGAATCTTCTGTAAAGCTGCTTTAAAACAACATGGATTGAGAAAAACACTACATTTATGAAAATAAACTTTGACACCATTTAAATACATTAAATTCGAGGTCTAATGTGTTTCACCTTTGCATTTGCAGTGGTTTTACGGTCACAAACTGATGCATGATCTTTTTGGTTTGGTCAGCACAAACAGTGTTGAACTAAAACATAGTTGACATAATAGCAGATTTCAGACAGTTTTAAACTTCCTCTTGTGTCTGCATGGCATATCAGGAAGCAAAAAGCAGAAGGGAGAGAGTAAGGTTCGTTTCGTTTCAGAAAGGTCCAAAATAAAGCTGGTTTGCTAAAACCATGAAGTGACTCAGACCGATCTCAAGGAAAACTCATCACATTGGAGTCATGTTGAGGTAAGTGTTACATTTTGCATAATACTCTTGACACTAAAGTGATTTACAAAACAAGCCAATAGTAATACATTCTGTGGACCATCACAAAATGTCTTACATTGTGTAATTGAGTTTTGCTATCTTTACTTATTAATACATTTATTAATCGATCTCTCTCCACTACTCTAAAGGTTTTTTTTTTTTTAAGGAAATCATTTTAATTATTGGTTACCTTAAATGTTAATATTGAAAGATATATTTTAAATAATTCATTAAAAAAAAAAAATTCTATTAAAAAAACTGTATATTAGGTGTCTTTAACTACTATGAAAAAGAGTCACAAGTACAATGTATTTATTGTGTTCCTGTTGTGTTGCAAAGCTGTGCCGCTATTGAGATGAGAAACGGGTTCGGACCGCTTTAGAGGTACGAGTGGGTTACGGTGTAAGAACCATCATTGATCATTATATATGGAGTTACAGAAATATATTACAGTTGTAATTATGTGCAGGTATTTTTTAAATACTATAAGTACAATGTAGAAACATTTATGTACACAAAAATCTACTTTTATCAAATGATTTATTTAATGTTGTGTTTAGGTCATTTTGACCTGGAGAGGATATTCTTTTTCCCAAAAATGCTAATTAACATTATTGCATTGGACTAAAACTTCCTTACTTTACTCACCCAGGGCATAACTACTTCCCCAACATTTGTTTTGTGAGGAATTTTCTTGTGATTTAATGAAGTAAATGATTAAAGACTCGAGACTGCACTGACACAGCACTGCATGGGGGTTTTCCTGGTTTCAGTTTCTCAAAGACTGCTCTGCCACTTACTCTTACACACAGACCAGAACAAAAGGCTTGTACAAATATGTTTTGAGTTGTTTTGGGTCTGTTCATGTGCCCCAGCAGGTAACACCTGGTTTCGGGGGATATGTTGTTCAATCCTTATTGTGTTCAATGACTGCAATGAAATTAAGACCATTTTACCAATCGCACTGAGGCATTTAAAATTATACCAAACATTAAAGGGAAACAATAGATTCAAAAGATACATAATATGTAGTATGTAGATCTTCTTAGAGAACTTTTAGTGACTTGAATCAGGGGGAAAGTGAGCAAGGAGGGAGAGAGGGGTGCACAGAAAGGTTTGGGCAAGACCATGTCCTGTGCTCTTTCTTGGTGGTCTCCTGTCCAGAATGCGTATTATTGCTTTACTGCAGGGAGAGTTTTACCTCAGCTTTTGTCTTGCACCTCCTTCATTTGAGCTTACGCACTTTCATTTTTGACCAAAAAAAGCATTATTTGTGGGTAATTTTGGCCACATTTAATACTATTTACAAATATTCTGTACAATTGATCACACTAGTGTGCTTTAATGGTTAACAAGGAAGATTGTTTTAAAATGCTTTTATTTTGAAAAATGGCACAAAGTCACACTTGTGATGTTCCTGGTAAAAAATGACCTGCCAACAAAAAGTAGCTTTTAAATGTCTTGTTATGCTATATTATTACCAAATATTGGATTCAGTCTTTTTGACAACTTGTTTTCTTTTAAGTATTTCTAGTTTTGTATTTATTTTTGAAACTAACTGCTTGTAGGCTTCATTGAGCTTATATTGATCAAAAATGACCATCTGTTGAAAATAAATGTGGGAGATCGAAAATCAGAGAATCATTTAGTGTTCAGGCGCGTGTTCATGTTGACATATGTACATGTGTGCTTGCAAAGATAAAGACCTCGGACCTGTGCATGTGTGAATACACACACACACTATTTTAAGTATTACAGGCTTTCTTTTACACAGAGATGAACTTTATCCTCAGATCAATGAGGCTTACGATCAATCAGTTTCAAAAAGAAAAAAAAACCCTGTCCCAATTGAAAGAAAACAAGTCGACAAAAAGATTGAATCCAATATTTGCTGATTAATATAGCATAAGCGATTTACAAGCAATTTTTAAAAGGCCGGTCATTTTTGACCAGGAACACAAAAGGGCTTTTCAAGGGTTAAATGTAGTCCATAGTAGCTAAAGACACTTAATATAAAGATAATTCTATGATATGGCATTTGTATTATACACTTATGAGTCAAGAAGGAAAAAAAAACATTGTGGCCTAAAGTTGGCTAAACATCTTTAGTCACATACAGGTGAAACTCGAAAAAATTGAATATCGTACAGTTCATATATTTCAGTAATTCAAATTAAAAGGTGAAACTAATATATTTAGTATATATAACTATATACATATGCATGATTATACTTTTCAGAGGGCCGACATTTCTGTATTGATTTCATGTAATATTCTAATTTTCTGAGATTTTGAATTTGGGGTTTTCATAAGCTGTAAGCCATAATCATAAAAATGATAACTTTTGCATGATATTCAAATTTTTTAAGTTTCACTTGTACGTAATGGTACTATGCTATTCTAAATCTAGCCGGTGTGTATTTTATGCGACAGGGCTTACACACCCATGGAGCTCCCGACGGCGCTGGCAGAAGTCACGGACACTTACTCCAACCAGAGCACCAGGAACCAGTCCCTGGAGGCCTGTTCCCGTGAGGGCGCTCTGAAGACAGCCGTGTTCCCTGTCCTCTACAGCGTCCTCTTCCTCCTGGGCGCGTCGCTCAACGGCCTGGCAGCGTGGGTGTTCCTCCGGATCCCCAGCAAATCTCACTTCATCATCTATCTGAAGAACATCGTTGTGGCTGATATTATCATGACCCTCACCTTCCCCTTTAAGATCCTCGCCGATGCAAACTTAGCAACTGTCGGCGTGCGTGTGTTTGTGTGCCGCGTGTCCTCTGTGCTGTTCTACCTCACCATGTATATCAGCATCTTGTTCTTCGGCCTGATCAGCATCGATCGCTGCAGAAAGACCATGTGGCCCTTCGTAGGCACCAGCCGTAGACGCCTGCTCCACAGAAAGCTCCTCTCGGCCTGCATATGGACCTCTCTGTTGGCTCTCGTGCTGCCCAACGTAATCCTGACGAGCCGCCTCAAAACTTCGGGCCGCATTAAGTGCAGCGACCTCAAGACCGAGCTGGGACTGAAGTGGCATGAGGTGGTCAACCACGTGTGCCAGGTGATCTTCTGGGGGAACCTTGTGACAGTGATAATATGTTACACGCTCATCTCAAAGGAGCTCTACAAGTCGTACGCCCGCACACGAGCTCAACACGAGGCCAGGCGAGGAGCGGATGTTCCCCACAGGCCGCTCAACAAGAACAGCATTCAGGCAAACGTGTTCCTGGTGTTGGCCGTCTTCTTTGTGTGCTTTGTTCCCTTCCACTTTGCCCGAGTGCCATACACTATTAGCCAGACACGAGGACAGATGTTCAACTGCCAGCAGAAGCTGTTCTTCTTCCAGCTGAAGGAGAGCACGCTGTGGCTTACCTCCCTCAATTCAGTGCTGGATCCACTCATCTACTTCTTCCTCTGCAAGTCGTTCCGGACATCCCTGTTCAACACCCTGCGCCTGTCTCCCGGCCGCTGTGGGGATCTCGGCTCCGACTCCACCAGCGCTCCTGTGGACAACACGCCGATGTGATGGACAAGCGCCCAGTCCTTCTGATGTGCTTCTCCTACACTTCTACTCTACGCTGTAACAGCTACATGATGAATCAAACCTTTTAACAACTTCCACTCTCTTTCAAGAACCTAATTACCTCAACCTTGATTCAAATCAAGAGGTTTCACATGTCATGACTGGCTAGCGGAGGAAAGCATGTCAGGAGAGATCTCTTGCCTCTTGCAGGTGTGATCTTGTTAAAAGCTTGTGTTGTGTTAAGATAAGCATACATGTCCACCGATGTCATGTGCTAGTAGCAGAAGTACCTCTGATCCTTACTAATTTATAAAGGCGTGTGATGCGTAGTATTTGTTGTCACTGACAAACCTTTAGTGCCAGGCATCCAGACATGCAAAAGTACTAACATTTTTCATGATAATGAATCCAAGTATTGTGGACATCACACTATTTCAGGTCATGTTTAAAGACATTACTGTAATGAAGACACAGATAATAATGATTCTACAGCTCAAGGCTGTCAGTCATTTCCAAGTCCAGTTCATTGTGAAGTCAATATTTGTAATAAATAAACTACTACTGTAAAAATAAAACCGTGACTATGGCAAAAAGCTGAGATTTATTGTAAACCATTTGATTGTTGCAACACATCACTGTTTTTCTTCCTCTTGTGCGTCACAGTGGGACCAAAGCTGCTTCCCGAACTGTCTGTTCGAGGGTTGATGCACACTTTAACATAAAATGTAATGTTTTTAAGACCCAAACTAATCAAATTAATACCATACTCCTACACCAAAACAAACGCACACAAAATACATCTCAAAATAAATCATGTTTATTTTTTTTTGTCTTTAAATTAAATCATTTTTCCTTTAGCCAGTTTTCACTAAGTAAGGCTAAGGAAGAATAATATTAAATCATAAATACAGGCCATTATAACATATTTATCAAACGAAAATTAAAAAAATTCATGTAGGACATCCATGACCACTTTGATTATTGGAGGCTAAATAGAATAAAATAACTTATTTGTGCAACTTATTCAGAGAAAGGAAGAAATATATTTAAAGTGATAAATTAATAAAACAAATTCTGTCATTATTGACTCACCCTCATTTTGTTCCAAACTTTTATGGATTTCTTTCTTCTCTGGAACACAAAAGAAGATATTATGAAAAATGTCTCTCTGAAAATCAAAAATCGGTAACGCTTCCTTTTACAGTCCTGTTACCCATGTACTTTCTATGTACTTATTATAGTAATTATAATTACTGGGTAATAACTAGGTACTAACCCTGAACCTACCCCTAACCCATGTACTTACCTTATATTAGCCAGTACTTTCTAGGTAAGTACACTGTAAGTACACGTAAGTACTGTACTGTAAAAGGAAGCGTTAAAAATCTTCAAAAAATCTTCACTTCCGAGTGAACGAACCCTTTAACATTCTCAGATAGTTTTTACAGGACAACTGCGCCGTGAACTGTGCTCCACAGATTGGCACAGGAACTCTATTGTTATATTGTAATTATATTCCCTGCATCTTCGCCTCAGACCCTGAGTTTGTGAGTGACGTGGAGCATCTGTTTTCTCTCATTTCAACATGTCAGACACTGCCATCATGTACAATGACTCAACAGAGCAGGGAATTGAGGGCTAATTTGGCAAGTGTGGAGAGAACATGAAGCAGGGTCCCTAAGGTAAGTGGGACTGTAAAGACTGTAAAGTCTTAAAGCTGCAGTTAAACCTTCAAAAAATGTTCAGAGCACCACATGTCAATTAATAAATGACACAAATTAATTGAATTTAAAATGTGAAAAATGTCTGTGACAATTTGTTTTGATCTTTTATTGGTCACTCATCTTCATGTCACCTGAACTCCCAGGTCAGAGTTCCCCAAACTGCCCCACACAGCTCAATGTGAAACTGATTGTGGTCTCCCACATTCATATGCGGTCAATGAAATTCAATGGAGAAAAGTCTAGCCTGACCGCCTTTAAACACAGCAGCGTTAATCTGCATTCTTCTACATCCACGGTTGTCAAACTGGGTGCGCGTACCCCCAGGGGTACGTGGACTGATTTCAGGGGGTATGCGAAAAAAGATCTAAGGGACTGTTCGTTATTTATTTAAGGGGCTACCGGAGGAGATTTGAGATCTGTAGTCAAAAAAGACTTGACCCTCCCTTCGCCAGCAGTCATTTTATTCTATGACCCTACAAAATGATTGTGAAAAAAGGCATGACCCGCCCCGATAATTTATTGATTACTTCTGTACCGGTTTGCGCTTGGCAAAGATGTTCAGATAGCCTTTTTTCTTTTTTTTTACAACCATGACAAACAACTTAACTCCTGCTTTCTCATTTTGCTAGGGCTGTAACGATAGACCAAACCTACAATTCGGTTCGTATCACGATTTTTGAAAAAAATCATGTTTTCGGTGCTGATGCAGTGGTGACGCGTTCATGTAAAATGTAAGGGTGGCGCTACCAATAAAGTATCTAAAAGCTGCCACAAAGAACTGGCAAAAGTAATGATTATGAATATGTCAAATATAGCAAGGAGACATTTTAATTGTTTATTAATAAACAAGTGTTTGTCAGTGTCGGCTGCAAACATAAAGGTGACGATACTGACTCGCGATCTTCGCAGTAGTGAACGCATGCACATTTCATACGGATTATATAAGCAGAGAGTCTGATTTCTTTCGTTTTGAATTGTTCTGTAAAAAAGTAGACATTTCAAGCTTTCTATATATTTATCAGGTCTGTGAGGCAAGTACATTATACGCTGTGTTTCGGTTAATTTATTAGACGAGAGTCCAGTTCACGCGCCGGTCATGATGATCTATTTTCTACTATATTTACTTCTTATTTATTAAATCCAGGCAATTGGTTGATGAAAAATTGATTAAAATTAAGATAAAACGAAGTTCACTTTAAAGAAAGGCTTTGTGCTTTCTGTTTTGAGGTCTCTGCGAAAGTTTTAAAGTCGCTTTCAGAGCGGTCATGTCCGTAACGGAGAATTGTCACGTCCAAAACATTGTTATTTTCCTCATAAATGCAAACACGAAAAATAAATAATAATTATATTTTATGTTCTGTGGAGGCCGACCCTCATCCGGTGGGTAGTATTACTTTTGTTTTGCGCAGTGTAGTTCATAGAATTACTAAAAAATATTTTGCCACCTAAAAGTTAAAGGGGTCATATAATTTTTACAAGTTGATTGTACTGAAATGTGTGTTGGCAGTGCCTGTACACAACCATCATAAAATGATAAAAATCCATCCAGTGTTTTTTTTTTATCTCCTTATATGTTTTTTGCCCTGTCTCAAATCGAGCCGTTCGAGCCTGTGACGTCACACGCTCGGACGCCCCTCCCACGATTGTTGATTGACAGCAGCGTTTCAACACAGACCCGCCCTCGCTCGTGAGCGAGCTGTCAATCATAGCCCGCGCGGACCGGGGTGGTCATTGTTGATATGCTGGAGCACTGTCTATGAGCAGAATGGCGTCTAAGCGATTGTGGTGTTCTGTTCTTGGGTGTAATAACGAACACAGCAGTCATTTTAATGTTCCTAAATCCGAACCGCTGAAGACGCAGTGGCTGAGTTTGTTTTCGAAGGGAATATTCCCCACGAGGAATGTCAATGCTCTCATGTTTGCGCAAATCATTTCTCACCAGACTGCTTTATAAACGAGGAGGGTCAGTATAAAGCTGGTTTTGCTAAGAAGCTGCTCCTGAATAAAGCATCGATACCAACTATTCGTGTTCCTGCTGAACCTCCAGAAGAACTGAAGTGAGTGTAACGTTTTATCAACCTTTATATTAATCTTTGCAAATCGCTAGCTGCACGCTTCACAATGAATGCGTCTAAGGTTTACACTCAGGGTACATTACGGCATGTTTTCTATGTATGACGTTCTCAATATAATTAATAATCCCACTTTTATAATGAACAATGCGTTATGGTTATTGAGTTACAAACGGTGTACGCACAGAGAGGCGGAGTCAGCAAAGCTCATTATCATTTAAAGTCATATGCACTGAAACGGCGTGCTGAAAACAGAGCTGTTTTTGACCAGGTAAAATAAGTGTTTTCTTACAATACTAATGAGAATTTTTAATTAAAGTATATTACAAACTTTTAATTTAGACCCTAAATAATCATACTAGCTTGTACAAAAATGGCATTATATGACCCCTTTAAAGATTTTTTGTGTCACGTCACGTGTATTTCCCTCATATGTTGACTTTTGATGAGATTTGTATCATATGTTTATGAGTCTATTCACTATTCTCGACAAAATTGATAAAACATCAACAGAAATCTGCAAATAATAAATTAAATGATAATAAATATTTTTTGTTTATAATATTGGAGCACCTTTTTATGGCCTAAAATCTGTAAGATATTTTAAGATGTTTTTAAAGACTCACAGGAACCCTGTGTTCCTCTTTGGTGGAATGAGGTTTGCCAATCTCCAACCGATCTGCTGACACCATCAACACTCGTGTTCTGCAAGCGCTTACGGAACTAACCCACAACCATGAACAAACACACTTTGTTTGTTTATATTTGGCATTGTGTACTATAAATATTTTTGCTCATGATAAATTGATTGTAATGTTTCTTGTTTGTAAGCTGCTTTTAATAAAAGCATAGTAAATAATTAGAATTGCATGTCTTGTTGAAAATATTGCTTCAGAAGAAAAATACATCTTTCTCCATGATCGTCAAAACTGAAGAAACCAATCTAAAACTGAAGATCCTTCCTTTATTGACAGATGCCACGTTCCTCCTCAGTCTTGTCTGAATTCTCTGTTATGAAGCTGAAGTAATTCCATTCACTTGGTTTCCTTCTGCATGTTTGTTGCAGACAACTGCAAGTACACTTAATAAACCCATCACTGGCATTGCCACAAAGAGTAACACATGGACAATCATTTCTTCTTCTTTTCCTGTATTATGCTCAAAAACTGAGTGCAAAAACTCCTTGTACCATGAAGGGATAAAAAAATAAAGGATAATTGTGCAAAAATTTTCAGAAATTCTTGTTTTATTAGTAAATATATTTATAAAACGTATATTTTATAATTGTACGGCACTGTTCAAATGGTAGATAATAGTAAGAGAAAGTTAAGCATGTCATTTTTGGAGAGTATTTTCAGTTTGTCAGTGAAAGCCGGATGAGTTTACCATGCAGAGTCATGGTTTCGTTCAGGGAGTTTCTGCCAGCCGCTGTTGCCCTTGTTTTGTGCACTGTGTGAATGTTTGTATTGTTCAATAATGTAATTGTGAAAAACAGAAATAAAACACAAATATAAATGTGAATGTAGTAAGTTTTCTATATAACAAATAACGAGACTATATAACAATAATTTAACCACATGTCTTGTTCAAACCTGATGAATTTTTCTATTTAGCAATAAACATTCTCCAAGACCTTACATGTGATCAGCGATATCAATAAACCATATATGTTATTTTGCATAACCAAACAATTGCTTTGGCTCTTCCTTTATGGTTTCAATTCTTTATAACTTACATCCTTAATGCACATGAATGTGTTATATTTTAAACGTAGTCCCC